ATAATATACACATGATGCATGTGAACAACTTGAAATGAAGACGGATGAAGTATTTGGTAATAGAAAAAATCAATATTTAGGAAGAAAAAACAAAGACACAATGAAAAACAAGAAAACACTTCTAAATTCACTGCAAAATAAAAATCAGAGGAGGAAAAACATCGAACCGATGACGTTCCGCTTCAAAGCTCATGGCGTTGAACAGTCCCATGAAGTCTTCGAACGGATTTTCACGCCTCGTATTACACAGGAGCATATCCCCAGCCCAATGATGAGATTATACATACAACAATTTGTCCCTTCATACAAATACGGACTATTTGTGCTATTTCAACAAGCTTAACAATTTGTGGCGCAATAACGCATTGTAAATTCACACCGTTAAGAATGTTAACTCAGGGAAAAAGGCAACGGCGCGCTGGACGCGCCAAAGAATGCAACAAGTCGCGTCATATCCATAAACACTTTAATCTACCACTGTGACTGTACACAATCCTGTTGATACCCATTTCAGAGAAACCTAGGGAAAGAATGGAGAACAGTGACGAGCGATGGACAAAGAGGGTAGCGGGAAACGGGGCAAAATTGACACAAATAAACGCAGCAAGTGAACATTGGGATTGGATTGATTGACATTATCAATTCGATTCATATCGATTGATGCCGGGATTTCGGTGGAGAGGAGAGGGTCGGTGAGAAAGGCAGCATTGGACAGACAATGAAGCTTTGGGGAAACGAAGAAGTTACTGGTGGGCTGTTTAGGCAGTGCACCTTTTAGCTTCCCACAATCATATGATTACAGGTTTGAACAATATTTCAAAAAAGAAAAGGAAAGTAACAACCCGCTACCGGTAATATACTTCTGTAAATAGAATAGTTAAAGTCGTAACTACAATATCAATCGATAAATAAACTACACGAACAAGACACGTTTTACTGAAGTGTATGCGTTTGTGGGTGCGGTGTATGTGTATTTGGTTCTCGATACCTTGTCGATATGCGAACAACCGGCATAATAAGAGTAGAAAAGAAAGAATGAGTGTGATCCAGGGTAGAGACATAGAGAAAAGAGGAGGTAATCGCTGAGAAACGCATATACCAAGTCAAATAACGAGGGAGGAAAAAGCACAACGAAGCTAACAATAAACATCAACAATGGAACTAACACGTCAACATTGCCAATGCAATCTTCCAACGAACGGTTATGCGTTATTTCCCATATCCTTTTCAGACTGTTGACGTTATAAAGAAACATTACGCCAGCCAGTGTTATTTCTTCCCTCGAAGTGATTCAATCAGACCACGACTCTGCATCTGCTGAATTTGTCGCAACAACTGAGGATTGCTCATCAATGCAGGGTTCATCGCTGCTGCGGCAGCTAAAAAAGGATTTGGAGTATACAAGAATGGAGATTTTAAAAATTTGTGTTTGAAAGTGATTATGATAGCCGTTACAACATATAAAAATCGAAAACCTAAAGGTCTCTGAATTACTCACCCAGCTGAGCAAGGGGATTATTATTCTGACCGGTTAGACCTGATGACTGAGCATGCTGAACGGCTTGAGCTAGCATAGTCATTGCCATATTCGGTTGATTTGCCTTAAACAGTACATTGTCGATGAAAGGGTTTTTTGATAAGAGAAAGTAAAAGTCAATAATATAAATTCAGCCCATTGAAACTTCCAATTTGATACTCATTTTTCCAATTCCTTATCGTAACTTTCAAGACTAAAATTCTATTTTTATCGAAGACTACAACTTTTTTAAAAGTTAGTTCGGCTGAATAGAAAATTAAGATATTTGAGCAAAGAAAGTGAAGCGGAACTTGATTATATCAAACACGCTAATGGAAAGGAATTTGTGTATTATACCTGATGTTGGGCTTGCTGTTGTTGTAAGCGCATTTGAGTGGCAGCCGCTTGCAACATCATTGGATTCCACATCTGAATTGCAGCATAATGATTACTTCGCGAAACATGAAACACGACTACATCGCAAGTAAATAGACTGTAAATAGACTCCCAAGCAGACTATATGACAATAAATGCTCTCACCTGTTGCATCATACTTGCCATTGGATTTCCGGCGGCAGCAGCGGCACCAGCCATTTGACTGGCTGCCATTGCCATCATTGGGTTAGCGCGTACCAATTGCTGCATAGCTGCCATTTGTTGTTGCATTGCTGCCTTAAAAAATGCCTTACATTTCAAAGAAAGGTTTTTCTACCCATTTTAAGTGACTGCTAAATAAAATTTTTAGAGATCTATGAGTTAAAGACTGTCAAATGCCTACCAATAACTCCCGCTATTGCTACTAGCTTCTATATTAAAAACAGAAGTAACTCAAAACGCAACTTTTTTGAAGGGAAAACCTACCATATTCAATCCAGGAGCACTATTTGACTTCTTCATGGTAGGAGTATTAGAGGAGGAAGAAGAGCCGACTTTCGACAGAGGAGTAGAGGACTGAGGGACCTGAAATGTACCAATAGAAAACGATGCCAGTTCTAATCCAAAAAAAGGTAGCGAGAAATCACTTCAATTTATTACGAATTCGGTAATGCAACTGGAAAGGAGGATGCCAAAACAGGAAAAAAAAACGAAAGTAGAAAAGTCTGTACACTTTTGTGTCCGAGAGCAGTGTAAAGTTTAACTTATCGACTGATGTTATCGTAAAAAGATAAACTCACCGGTGTGGCTGCTTTCCGCACAGTAGGCGTACTAGTTCCACTACGCTGTTGCGTCGCTGCCAAGTTCGGTATTTTCGTACTCAAATTCTGAGCCTGGCTAGTAGATGCGCAACCAGATGAAGCCGCAGCAGCGGCTGCTGCGGCGGCTGCATGTGCCTGGGCTGCAGCCGCCAAAGCAGCTTCCAGCTTTCCATCGGCAATTTGCTTTTCGAATTCCTAAATAAAAGATATATTTGAGATGTAAATGCTAAGATGAATGACACTAACTCACTTTCTCTTGACTATTAATCTTATTGTAAGCTTTCTTGAGTACATTAGTGTGATCCGTTCGTATTTTACGCTTCTGCGCGGAACGAACACATTGTTCACAGTACAAATGCATATCTGTGGCTGAGGTCCCTATGGCTTTCCATGAAGGGGTAAAATCCGTGCCGCATTCTTCGCACTCATATGGTACCTCGGTAACAGTCCTGTAAATTAGATTACTTTAAGGCATATAATGCACGATGTCCTAGATTCCCAAAACTGACCTGTACACGTTCTTATCTTTGAGTACCCGTTGAACGACGAGATCCAGGCCGACGAGGTAACAAAAGTCCGGCTGCGACCCGTTTGGGATGAAAAACAAGTCGATCGGTGGAGCTTTTGGGGCGGATATTTGCTTCAAAAAATAAATATCAAACACAAGTCCAGATGTATCACTAACAAAAACTTTAAGTAGAAGAAAGGTTATTTCTTATATCTTTACAACATACGGTCGCTAAAAGCGATTAGCAGCTTGTGTTTTCAAACGAACTTTTTACATCAACATGAACGGTTTCAAACTCTGGCTTTAGTGTTTCTCTAGAAAAGCTAGTGTTAGTAAATACCAGTGGTGAACTTGAGATTTCGAAAGTGTACAACAAGCGATAATTAATGCACACATGTAGCAGTGCAACCAAAAATGCCATTTTTTCCCTCGAAGCTCGCAGCATCGAAATTTATTTACAATGGAAGGATACTTAGTCGAAGTGACGATCCGAGAAGCGATGTATACTAGTAGATGCAGTTTCAGACGCTAATTCCAATCTGACTTCCATATCTGCGAAGCGTTTCTCTGGAGGAAGTTATGAGCGCTTGGAAATTCAAAGCGTCAGTGCCACCTCTATCAAGGAGAATGCACAGTAACCGAAGTGGCGGATAGTGTCGTGGTAGGTATAGCAGTTTGTTGAACTGATGGTGCAGGTTCGTTTCCTCTCACCTCCAAACACTTCTGCATTTTCTTAAGAATGTTTTGATCTAATTGTTGCTATTCATGAATGGATGACGCATATTCACTTAAATGATGTTTATAAAAATTTCAAAATGTGGTCACTTTTTCCTAACAACAATGCTTGAGGAGTATAAATTTTATAGAAAGTGAATACGCTCACATTCGAAAACTTTTAAAACCAGTATTTAAATGAAAATGCGCCATTCAGTCATGAATAACATTCATTACAATTAGATTAAAACATTCTTAAGAAAATAGTGTTTGGAGGTGAGAGAAACGAATCTGCATCTGATTTAACAAACCGGTATACCTACCACTACACTATCCGCCACTTCGTTTACAGTGCAATGGTTCCCTTAAGAGGCGGCACTGACTGAAATTTTCAAAAGTTCATAACTTCCTCCAGAGAAACGCTTCGCAAATATGGAAGGCAGATTTGGAATCAGCGCCTGAAACTGCATCTACTGGTGTACATCGCTTCTTGAATCGTCACTTCACTAAGTATTCTTCCCTTGTTAGATGCCAATGGCGAAACGGTTCCCCCATAGTTGTAAGACATAACAAAAAAGCGTTGCGAAAATTCGTATAAACTTTTCTGCTATAATCATCACCCATGAAGATGAAAAGAGCGCAAAACGAGGCAAACCTGCATAAGCTGCTTGTCCGCTTGCATCCGAAAGGCTTGCCGAGCAGTAGCAGCACGTTGCTGAGGAGTTTGTGCAGCGAGAAGCTTAGCCTGGAACATTCAGTACTTGGGCAGATTCAACAAATTTCTGTGACAATGTCCACCTGCTGCGCTGCATTATTCGCCTGGGTAGCAGCTTGCTCCTTGAGCAGTTGCTCTTCTTTGGCACGTTGCTCTTTGAGCTGTTGTGCCAACGATGCTGCTTGTGATGACGTAGAAGCATGGTTGGCGAACAACGCGGCCAATGCTTGAGCAGGTGATTGGCCGCTTTTTGCTGCTTGCATGAGAAGCGCTTGCAGTGCTGCTGGATTAGCTTGCGCACTGCGAAGAAGCTGAAAGCAGCTTATTCAAAAGAAATTTTCGAAATGATTGGTTGAGAAAATGAGAGTAACTAAGATCATGGTCTGGAAGATAACACTCTTCAACAATAAGAAGGCAACAGCTTTGCACAACAAAACTGAAGAGCCAACAGGATTCAAAGAATTTAAAAACAAAACTGAAACTTTAAAAATATTAAGAAAAGGTTACCTCCTGTTGTTGTTGAGGAGTAAGTCCAGCCAGTCCCAGAACAGGATTCGGTCGTGAGGAGCCAAGTGAACCTAAAACATTCAGCAATGCAATACGATCCAGCAAATAAGAGTAACGTAACTACAATAGATATGTGAGTACGAAAAAAGTATGGATTCCAATAGAGTTTTTGAATGTTCAGGACAAACTGCCGCCTACCAAAAAAAAACCTTTAAAAAAGAATCTACGGAGTTTAACGACAAGCGGAACGATGATGACACTTTCAAAACATTTGAGTCTGGTACATGTACCATTAAATAAAGTAAAAAGTTCGTAAAA